CCTGTCATTTCCATCCACAAATAAATGGTTTAATCAGTATTTTGTACTCCTTCAGTCATGAGTGAATAAACTTTCATATTTTCAGACTTTTTCCACAATGCGTTCTTCAGTCTGTTCTGAGTCTGCCGCTAAATATCTTTTAACTTTTAAACGGGGTAGACAGATTTACAGGAAGTGGCATCCTGACCATTCACAATTTTGCGCTCTCGAAATTCTAGCTTGCCATTTTGTGATCCTATATAACAGCAACATAGTCTGATTCACAGATCAATCATCATCATCAGTTTTATTTATAAAGCACTTTCTAGCTCACTTCAGCCAGCTCCAAAGTGCTTAACACAACAAATAAAAACACACCACAAAAAAACAAACACACTAAATCTACAACTATGAGACAAACCTACCTAATTAAAAGATAATAAAATAAAATGTGTCTTTATCCTAGATTTAAAAACTGGGAGTGATGGAGCTGTTCGAACAGCTAAAGGCAGAGCTTTCCACAACCGGGGCCCAACTACAGAGAAGGCTTGTCCACCTCACATTTCAAGATTTTATCTTGGAGAAACAGCAGCCACTGGTCTGCAGACCTCATCGAACATATTGGAGCATGGCAATTTACAAGTGGCTGAAGATAGGCCGGCGCCTCCCCAGATAAAACGTACCTAAGAGATAAAAAATAGCATGTCAGACATGAAAATATTGGGGGTTTACTGGTTTGAAAACAGTTTAACTTTTTTATTTTATTTGTTTCAAGGTGCTTTAAAACTAAACAAATCATTTAAACTCACCTTTTCGTGTACAATATTTTTTCAAAAAATCATTGAACAGTGATGAGGAAACTGGAAATCTGCAAAAATCCATTTTTTCCCTTTGAGGTCCTTACTTCACATAATTATTGCAGCTTGGGATAAGATGCAAATTACATTTGAAGCTCTGCTGGATGAGAATAAGAATCTTAACTCAGTAAGAAACACCTGCAAAAAATGATACTGCAAATGGATGGCTTAGCTCAATAACTTCTGAAAATTTACTGAACATTATCCTTTTTTGAATGAATTTGGTATTCAGATGTAAGCAGGCTTGTGTTGAAGCTGTCAGACACAGAGACTTGTTGAAGGCGCTAGTGCATGTAACAGCATCAGGACATGAAGGCTGCCACAAAAAAGCTCTAGTTCATATTCAAAGAGCTAAAAATGGACACAAATAAGAGTGAATATTCAGAGGTGTGCTGCTATATGAATAACCAAAGACATCTTTCTAGAAAATGTCTAGTCCATGTTGGAAACGTGTCCTGATGCTGCAGGCTCTTAGCAGGCCCTTACATGGATCTTGTTGATTGATTATTTTCATAGAAGAGCCAGCTCAAGCTTTCAGCAATGACCTCATCTCTCGGGTGCACTAGTGTAATTATTTTCTGCTGATTGGTGATCGCATTATGTGTCCTTTGAGTGTCCTAAAGAGAGCTCAATGCTCTCATGAATGCTACAAGGAAAGCTTCATGTTTAAGTGGGACAATTGATTTTTTTCAGCCTATTGATTCTAAATCAGAGCGATCAGAGAGCTGATTGTTTCTGTGTTGATTATAATGCCACCGGCATCTTATTTTGACCGTGGCGCTCCCGAAAGGTCGCTCTCAGTTAACACGAACTATCTATAGCTCATTTTTCTAACTAGGACCGACTTTCAATGATGATCAATAATGTTCAAGTGACAGTGTGTATTTTCCCTGCCGATAGGGGCAGTACATACCTGAATCACTGCAAGCAAGCATTATTTTTGTGTTAAAATAAGACTTTACAAACGGATGACCATTAGGGTCAAAAGACCCTGGGATTGCAACCTCCAGCAAAACAACAAGCACATCAGAATCCCTTTCATCACTGGCAGTGAGTGAAGAGGTAAATGTGTAAAACAAAAATGTTTGTTATTGGTGAAAGTTTTGGAATCATTTGTTACAAATCAGTAAATGTGTTTTGTCCTCATGGGCTGGCTTCCTTAGAGGAAACATGGCATCCAAGATGGCATCGCCCAGAGACTTAGGCCCAAACTCAATTCTCGCACTGTGCCCTGCGGGCTTCAGCAAGTGCACTTGGAAAAAGTGCGCAGTAGGGTTCGAGTGCATAGTACAGAAGTGTGCAAATAATTGCCGAATGGAGACAGGGAGCATTGCATCATCGATCAAAATGCATGCCGGGATGCTGGTCGCTGTGAAACTTTTTTCAAAAACCTTTATTAACAATTTTCAAACAAACAACAAAGCAATTATTTGAAATAAAATTTACTTCATTGCTGCTTTGTCTAAAACATTCAGAGCATCAACTAAATGTCCTAAAATAAACTAATTTTATTAGAAAATACATATTTTCAGAAATGGAACTTGAGCCATTTCTTCCGCAGCCATAACTTGTGGGTAATACCCTTGCCCGAGGTCCGCATCTCTGCGGACTTGGGTGAAGTGCAGACTAAGGTTGCAATGGGGGCATGGTCAACTTCCGCACTTGAGAATCGGGACACCCTACGCACTCGCACCCCTGGCCGGGAACGCGCAATTGAAGGGCGCAAGGGTGCAAGTGTGAATATTGAGATTGGGCCTTAGACTCTCTCCCATGTATTTTAGACCTGATTTTTATGGTTACTGTATTTTCCACACCATAAGGCGCTATTAAAAACCTTTGATCTTCCCCTGAACTGGCAGTGTTCCTTTTAAAACGGATGCACCTTTTATACATGTCTTAAGCAAGCCCCCACAATGCAGCTCAGAAAATGGTCTCAACCCGGAAGTACCAAAAATTGCAGTTCCACCTTCATCCACTAGGGGCTGGTGTCAGAAGCGAGCAAATCCTCATTGACTCCCAAGTTAAAAATACCAATTTCACAGCAGAAATAAACATGCTTACAGCCTGGTACCAAAACATGTTTTTGGTTTAAATGATCTAGTTTACACTCATGACAACTCTGAGGGGGGTGAATTTTTTTCTCACTCTTCTGTTTAAGTGTATTAAAAGCCTAAAATTCTGTATAATTAATGAGCATCAGACCCATGTGACCACAGAGCTAGCTCCGTGGAAAGGCCTCAGTAGAGCCTCGGTCTGGCTTGGAAACTGTTTTGGGATTTTGAGTCTCTGTGCTTGTGTATTCTGTTTTGGATATTATTTGTGCAATTGTTGGACAAAATGACTTGCTGTGGCATTAATTGCATTAATAGAGCGTCCAAGGAGTCTCCACTTCATTTTTTTCGGTACGTTAAATTATATGTATGTATTTTAGGTCACTGCCGCCTTTAAACTAGCTGAGTTTATCGAAGTAGCTAGCTAACTATCATTTTAGCATGTAGCATGTACTGTTTAACCATGAAGTTTTGATGTAAAATACGGTAAATTAATTAATAGGGCATATGTCGATGGGTAAAAGGGTAACACCCAGTGCATTTAACATAAAAATGGGTTGAAATATGACGGAGCTCTTGGAGGGACACTTCTGTGTTCCATTCTTCCACCCGGTTCTCCCCGGCGGTCAGCCCGGTGCATGTCTGACCGATGCGGCGCCTACTAGCTGCTGCGCGGGCTAACCGCTCGTGGAGCTCTCGGACGGGGCTGACCGCTCGTGGAGCTCTCGGACTCGTAGAGAGACCTGACCGCAGAAATACTGCAGCTCAATTCCCTACCTAAATGCAAAGTTTGAGAGACATGGTTCACTTAGGTCTGCACTGCCTTCGGGCAGATTTGTCAAGTTCACAAAATGTGGAACGGGATGTAAGGTTAGAATCAGCGGCGAATCGGAACATATCTCAAAGCCCTGGCCGACGAAACGGTCCACATGACTATTACTGTCAGGCTCGGAGAAAATTCTGGTTGTTTTTGTGTCAGTCGGTAATTCTGCAACAGTGACTCTTAACTAACGCAGCACTAGTTGACAGACATGATTAGAGCGTGAAATCCAGCACAGCGTGACCCGGTTCTGTGAGGAATTCTGTTCAGGAGGTCGCATTTCAGGCTCTCCACACCATATGTGACTGACTTTTACGTTGTAATAACGACCACAAACTAGGAATGTTATAAAGTGCCTATATCTGACAGTTTCTTTTGTATATTATCTGACTTTATAAACTCCAACAACAATGTGCTTCTATTTTTTTTTCAGGCTAAATCATCTCTACCCAAGACATTGGCTGTCTGACTGATTTGGTAGTCTGCAAGAATGCATTTGTCCAGCCTGACGTGAAGCCTTACCCGTAGCAAGGGTGAATTATTTTTAATAATCGTCTATGTAAACATTATATTATTACCTTCTAGTTTTAATTTGTTTTGCAGATTATTGTTACACGTGATTTTAAGCTCTTTTAAGCATTTATAAATGTGCTGTTTCTTTGTTTTTTATGTAGCCACCTAGTTTAGAGCTCCCAGCTGCTGTGTGTGTGACACTGGGACCATGATGGAAATTCATCTTCCAGAAAGTCTGGCTCATCATTTAGCCAGATTTCTAAGGTATAGGCCAAAAATGTTTAGGTTAGCTTTGATAAGGTCTGTGCATCTCTCATTTCATGACGTAACTTTTCATATTTTAGTTCCTGGGTGCCTTCAATGTGCAGGGACTGTCCAAGCAGTCATTCTGTCGACATCAGGCAAAGCTCTTAATTCCAACAGTGAGCTGGCAGTGGCAGCTAGCAAGCTGATTTCATCCAGGAGGCTACTGAATCTGGACCTGTGACTCTTGGTGGTGACATGCGAGCTGATTCACCTGGTGAATACGTTTAAATGTATTTATTTTATTCCTTTGCTATCAAATGTAAATTAAGTAATAACTTGCATTTCTGAAGGACACTTGGCCAAATATGGCAGCTACACCATGATGGATCTCAAAAGAAACAAAGTTATTGATAACCAACTCGTACAGGTACAACATTACCTGATGATTCCAATGCATTTCATGGTTAATTATTCACAGATCAATGGAGAATTATGTTTATTTTCAGAGCAATGAAGTTGGAAATAGTGTGCAAATGGAGAAGGAGGGATTTGTGCGAAGTCTGAGCACACTTTTGTAGAGGGGGGTCGATGTGCAGCAAGTTGTGACTGACCACCACACATGGGTGCAGAAATATTTGCGGGAGGAAAAAAAGGAAATCAGTCACTTCTTTGACCCCTGGCACATGGGAAAAGGTAATCTTTGGGGATGTATATAGTGAATATTACAAGGTTTTTTTTCTATTTTAAGTGTGGGTCTATTTGGCTCTCCATGAATTGGTAAGAAAATCGAAGAGCTGGGGAAGAGAAAGACGACCCAGGAGGTGAGACTGTGGAAGCAAAGTGTGGTGAACCACCTCTACTGGTCAGCATCCCTCTTTATTCCAGATTGGTTCAGCATTTACATGCTAATGTGGCGATATGTCACAGAGTGGTAATGTTGTTCTTTTGTTTAATGTTCTTATGTTATGTTTTATATTGCATGTTTTCTAATTGATTAGGTGCTTTTAGGTTGATTTTTAACTGTTTGGGTGTTTTTAGTGATTGCTGCAACATTGCATCCCATCTGTGTTAATCCTCCCCAATTACCCACACCTGGGAGCGGGGTGTGGACTGGACTGGCAAACAATGAACAGAGGCAGGGCAGGAGGTGAACGGGCAGAGGGTTTTGTTTATTTAAGGGAGCGGACGTGGAGACGCGGAAACATGAGGGGAAAGGAAAATACTCAGCTGGAGCCAGACGGACTCCGCGAGCTCCGCAAGGTCAGGAAGGAGATCCACCGGCGGCACGGACAGCAGCAGCAGCAGCAGCAGCAGCGGCAGGAGAAGCAGCAGCAACAGCGGAGAGAGAGATCCGCGGCCGGAGACGCCAGGGCACAGAGCGCAACACGGCAGGCGGGCAGAGTTACTCTGCCCCCGCGCGTACGTAATTGATCAGTGCCTGGCAGTGTTAGAGTTGCTCTCTCTCTGTGAGTGGTCTGGTGCCGGGGACCTATTTACTACCGGAGTTGTTGTGTGCCACAGGGGCCGGGCCGAGGAGGAGGCGGATTGGATTCACCATGCGGCGATCCTGTGGTTTCCAGACGACGACGCCGGCCTTGGAGGTTCCTTGGTCGAGAGCTCAGCAGGGCCGGACTGGACCGCCATGTCCCTTGGGGCCCTGCGCACACTCGATTGAACGCTTTTTTCCTTGGTGTCATCATCAGGGTTTTGTAATAAATGTCCCTTTTTAATTTGCTTTGGCTGTCGCACTGCTTGCCTTGTTTTTTAGAACCTATTTTAATCCTTTTAATATTAGTGGCACCTTCCATTCCACCTGGATCGTGTCACAGATACATAACCCAAACCAATATTACAATAACAAACTCTTACACAAAAGGCTCCTCTTGATAGAGCAAATCTGTTCAGCACATTCTGACAGACAGACCACCTTTCTTCTTTCATGTTGCTGTACACGACATTTTTAGAGTTTTTCTTTTTAAAGATAAATAGTATTACATTAAAAGAGCAATACTTTCACATTATCATTTTCCCACACTTTCTGTATACCTGTATTTTATTTTTTCAATAAAGAATGACAAATTAAGTTGGTTTTTTTCAGCACACAAATATTTATCTGTAAAACATATCTACAAAGCTAATATTTACATACAAGTATGATTGGGTTTTGAAATACAGCACTCTGTTTATTTTAGTAAGATTTTTAAACCAAAGTTAGTAAAGAACACAATTCTATTGGCTGCTAAGAAACTGTTGGACTTAAAACAGGCCTGTTGTAGAAACAACTTGGCATAAATGATTCTTCCTTCTTTCTCTTAACCAAAGAAATTCCAGTAATTGAGCAAAAACATTTATTTTTTTACATCACATTTTATAAAATAACAGGACACAAAGTGTCAGGACATTTAAAAAATACTTAAAATAATAAAAGGGGCCCAGAGAGCTGCAGAGTGAGTGGAACATTGAGTTGTGAAGGGAGAACAGTGTGATATGAGGGTGTAGAAGGTGAAGCCGGTGCAGGTCCTCCATCATGTTCAACAGCTTCACACTGCTGACCACCCCCATGTCATTGCCGCCACAGTGGATGAGAAGGACATCAGGAGCTGCTCTTCCATGCATGGAGTTGAAAAAGAAGGGGAGAAGGTCTTTCCACCTCAGTCCGCCCCAACCGAACCAGGAGACACGGACGTCAGGGAGGCCAAGGTTGTCTCAGAGGTCTCTGCAGCTCTCTGGGCACCATGCCTCACTCAGCTGTCACCGATGATCCAAATGGCTATGGAGAAAAAAAATAACAGGTTTGGCCTTGCTGTTTAAAGTACAAAACCATACATGAAGTGGTCGAGGCAGGTATTTGGAACTTATTTGCTGCTTTGTGTAGCTGATGTTGGAGACACACAGGCTGCCATGGGGACCTTTTAATAGAGCCAAGAAAAAATGTAATAAAAGAATGAAACTTAAAAACTTCCAGACCTCATTTCATGATTGCTAATCAGCTATGGCTGATTTATTGTTTGGATCACAGTGAGTTACACTAATTCTAATATATTTTTATTTCTATTATACATACATACTTTTTAACTGTTATTTTCACATGACTGTTATCAGGCTGTCTTGTGCTGGCTTTCATGATAATAATGTTTCTTCCAGTAAGTTGTCTTGTGCTTACTTCATCTGTATAATGTCTCTTTACTTTTGGTGAATTGTACTGAGTCCAGAATAAAGGCTAGTTGGCTGTACAAGATACAAACAAGTATTACGTTTTGGAAATATATGAAATGTATTTAGCCTGCTAATTTATCTCAAATACTAATAACTACCGTATTTTCCGGACTATAAATCACACTTTTTTCATAGTCTGGCCAGACCTGCTACTCCAGAGCAACTTATATAACAAAATATGTAGGCTACACCACGCTGCTGCGGGCCGACTCCGACCCAAGAATGAGTTCCCCTGTCCCGCTGGGAGGGTTTCAAACACCACCTTTCTCTGCTGGAGACCGTGGCGCGCTGCTGCGGTGCATTATTCGGTTATTGTTACCGGTACTTGTCTTGCAATGTGATTTTGTAAGAAAAATAAAATTTTCCCCCAAAATACGACTTATATATGTTTTTTTTCTTCTTCATTATACATTTAATGGCTGGTGCAACTCAGGAGCGACTTAATAGTCCTGAAAATACGGTACGTGAAAAATAGTGAAAACTTGCTCAAAGCAAAATATGTTTTCATTACGGAAATAACATAAACTTACCGATTTAATATTTTTTATTCACAGAAAGGTACTTCTCATGAAAAAGCGCCGCAAACCTCCACCTGAACTCCATGCGGTCCATGGGTGTTCCACAGAGTTAGCTCCGGTTGTAGCTAGGTGGATACATCCGTTAGCTCGGCTCCCACCTCCGCGTTAGCTTTGGGTTAGCTTCAGGTTAGCTTGTAGCTAGTTCGACCGGGTGTCGTCAGTTGATCCCAGCCTTACAGCCCCACCCTCAGCTCTTCCTCTCTTCCCTTTTATGGAATTGTCTGGGCTTGACGGAACCTGTGACACGGTCAAAATGGTGGTGGTGGCAACCTCCCATTTTAGCACAAAAACTTGTTATTGGAGTCTATGGAAACCCATTGTCCATATATTAATGTCGATGGTCTTAAGGATGTAAGTGAAGTCAGCCACACCTGCGTCCGCAGGAAAACAAAGAGCCGGCCCGTAGCACCGCCCACCCTCACCAAATAAAAGGTGTGGCACTGTTCCACACAGCCATACCGGTAACCAGCCATGGCACCAGTGAAGAGACACGCTTACGAGGCAGAGTTCAAGCTCAAAGCCATCGCTCACGCCGTTGAGCATGGAGACAGAGCAGCAGCGAGAGAATACAAGATTAAAGAGTCGATGGTGTGCAAGTGGAGAAAGCTGGAAGACCAGCTGCTGCAGGTGAAGAAAACGCTGTGTAGCTTCAGAGGCAACAAGGCAAGATGGGCGCTGCTTGAAGACCGAGTTGAGCAGTGGTTTGCAGAGCAGCGAGGGCGAGCAGAAGCGTCTCCACCGTCTCCATTCATCTCAAAGCTGCAGCATTAGCACGAGAGATGGACATTGCGGACTTCATAGGAGGCCCTTCCTGGTGTTTTCGATGCATGCGGATGCAAACACTTTCTATCCGCACCATAACTACAGTCTCGCAGCAGCTACCTGCCGACTACGCTGAGAAGCTAGAGTTTTTCCGCTACTATTGCACTAAGAAGATTGCAGACAAAAACATCCAGCCCCAGCACATCACCAACATGGTCGAGATCCCGCTTACCTTTGACATCCCGGTGAACTGGACCGTGGGGAAAATGGGGACCAGCACGATGTCTGTGCGGACGACCGGCCACGAGAAGTCGTGCTTCCCCGACGTGCTCGCCTGCCAGGCTGATGGCCAGAAGCTGCCGCCGCTGGTCATCTTCAAGCGGAAAACTTTACCCAAAGAAAAGTTTCCAACCGGCGTGATCATCAAGGCGAACCCGAAGGGCTGGATGGATGAGGACATGATGGCGGCGTGGCTGCGGAAGGTGTACACCAAAAGACGGGACGGCCTCTTTCACTCTTCTCCAGTCATGCTGATCTGCGACTCCATGCGGGCCCATCTCACCGACGCTGTTAAAATCCACTTGAAGAGAATGAACACGGAGCTCACCATCATACCGGGTGGATTAACCAAAGAACTCCAGCCGCTGGACATCGGGGTGAACCGGTCCTTCAAAGCGAATGTCCGAGCAGCGTGGAAGCGCTGGATGACTGATGGCGAACACACGTTCACCAAGATGGGCAGGCAGCGCCAATCGACTTATGCCACCATGATGCCTGGGCCAACGTTTCAATCCAGACTGTTGTTCGAGCTTTCACCAAGGCCGGGATCACAACGGGAGAGCAGAGCAACGACAGTGACATTGACTGACGGCGATGAGCCAGGTGCGTCAGAGCCGAGCGCGCTGCATTTAGTGCTGGGTCAGTTCTTCATGTCAGACACAGAGGACGAGGATTTTGAGGGATTTATGGACGAGGAATGAAAAAAAATGTGAGTGCTTTTTTCAGTATTGCTGCTAAATAATTTTTATAGCTGCTATGAACAAATCTGTACAGAGCTGTGTTGCTGCGGTCTGAAAGGCCAACAACGCTTGTGTGTAAAGATAGGACTTTAAACACGTTTATGTTAAACAGCTGTACAGTGTTGCCACGACCCGAATGGGCAACAGCGCCCTGCATGAAACTGGGACTTTAAATATGTTTATAATAAACATAAGCAAACAGTTGTGTTGCCGCTGTCTGATGTGCATCTTTGCTCCAGCCATGCCTGCACGTAAAAATAGGGCTTTTGTTTGTTAAACAGTCATACATCTGATTGTTCATTCTTCCTGCTTAAAGCATCCATGCAAAAAATGACACTGACAATTACAAAATTAATAGTTTTATTGTGAATGAGAGGAATAAAGTTTGATTTTGATCAAACTCCTTCGTTTGGCTTATTGTACCAATTACGCATTACTAGGTGGAGTAAGACTTCTCTGATCGGCTCCCAGGTCATTACAACCACACAGTGGCCGCACATAATGCTTTATCTCCGGCTGACTCGGCTCCTCTGTACTGCAGCGGCAAGAGGGGCTTAGCGCTGTGTTCAGTCAGTCATGCCATTACCAGAGTTTAAATCTTCAGTCTTGCTGCTAAAAGCACCTGTGCATTAAATTGGGACTAAATGTTACTTTAATAATGAGAACTTTATTGTTTAGTATAGAAAATGAGTGGAGTAACATTTGACTTTGATCTAATTGCCCAATTTGCCTTAATTGTGCCGATCAGGACACTCGTTTGCTTTGCTGGGTGCGTGTTTTGATCCAGTGAGCCTTATGTGTGGACCAAACCTTTAACTAGGACGCTGATTGGCTGTGCACCGTATAATCAGGTGAGCCTTATGTGCGGAAAATACAGTATATGTTATGAAACTGCCAATATTTTTTCAACAACTGAGCATCTTTAAATTCATTTACAACATTTCTATGGATATTTCCAGAGGTTAATGGAAAAAAATACACATTGTCACTTGAAGAAATTGGTCAAATAATTTTAAAAAAGCTGGAACTAGAAACATTTTTTGTTTCAGTTTTTTGATTGTCAGCATACAAGGAGCTTCAGCTATCAGACTAAATTCCTCCCGTTTCAAATTTATGGAATAAATTACAAGAATTTTCATTTGAAACTGGTTAGAAGCTTAATTATATGTTCAGCTCATATTTTTACCTGTTAAAGATTCATGCTGGCTCTTAATGTCATGTTGTGAGATATGGTTTGGACCCAAACGCAGATGAGAAGGCATAGGAAGGAGGCTGGAAGGTTTATAATGAACTGTAGGAAGACAAGACATGAATCTGGCACAGACAAGCACGGAGTGTTTACATTTGCAAGGGTAATCAGGGAAACAAGTGGGTAAAGCAACGAGGACCAGTTGATTCAGATTAACACTCAACAAGGGGAGACAAGACCGAGTGTTGGGGCCAAGGGGGCAGATCCTGACACTATAAGTAGTGAAATATATTTTTTTTCCTAAAGTACAATTC